TGTATGTATGTATGTATGTATGTATGTATGTATGTATGTATGTATGTTTTAGTATTAGTATTAGTAAATACATACATAAATATACATACATAAGTGTATGTATGTGTGTGTGTGTGTGTGTAGGATTTAGTATTAGAAATATCATACATAAATATACAAATATACATACATAAGAGTGTATATATGTAGGTATGTAGCTATGTATGTAGATATGTTTGAGTAATTACATACATAAATATCCAAATATACATCAAATATGTGCATATAATGTATGTATGTAGGTATAGGTATATTGTCCAGAAAACAGTTTTTCTCAAATAATGTTATTTATAAGTTATGTCATGTTATCAAACTCATCACTCAAGCAGCACTAACACATCATCATTTTCTAAAAACCACCAAATTCCTAAAATATCCTGATGAGGGGAGCAAAGCATCTCTTGCTTTCTTTAAAACTTCCAGCTACATCACAGAACTTTTAGAGATCTTTTCTTCCCCTTTAACTAAACTTTGGTGAGAGATTTCATTTATGATGAATTAACGTGTCACATAAAAAAAAAAAGTTCCAGATTACAGCCTTAAATTTCCACTCGGAGCTCTGATGTTAACTTCAGGCTGACACAATGGCAGCGTCTTCCCGTTTGAAGTATTAAATGTGCTAATTAAAAATAATCGGGAGGCAGCTGGCGTGCATCTTTTAACGCCGTGGCCGTCTATCTGATCCGCTGAGACGTTCAGGTGTCCCACTCACGCTGGGAGACGCCGCCGCCGCTTTAATTAAACAGCCCCAGCGTTTGAACACCACGCGTTGATAATTTACAAAGAAGGAAAACATCCAAGACGGGATTTTTTTCTGCTCTCTCTGGAAGCTTGAATCGATTCTTTAAAAAAAAAAAAAAAAGCCTTGAAAACTTAAAAGAAGCTTTAATCCGTTTGTTTCCTTTTCTCTCTTTGTCCGCAGGAGTCTCCCAGCAACAAGCTCCTCTATGCAAAAGAGATCTCAACGTACAAGAAAATGGTGGACGAGTGAGTGTCCGGCGAGATTTCCAGCTGCGAGATTGTTTAAAATGATGGTTCCAACTTAAACGATCTTAAAAAAAAATCATTGGCTGCGATTGGCCGGACGGTAACCGAGCGCTTTGTTTTCCACAGTTACTACAAAGGCATCAGGCAGATGATTCCAGTCAGTGACCAGGACATGAACACACACCTCGCCGAGGTGTCCAGGGTAAGAACCCCTCTGTTTAGGTCATCTCCTGACCCCGGCTGACCGTACAGACCGTTAACAGCGACTTTAACCAGAAGCTTTGCGGTTCTGCTCGTAGTTCTCGCTTTTTAAGATTTTGATCGGTGATATTTTGGCCACGTTCCGGCCGTTTAGGCCTCTGTTTTTGGGGGTGGACGTGACTAAAGCCGTTTCCTTCTCTCTGCAGCAACACACAGACAAGCTGAACACCCAGGTGGCCTTACACCAGCTCTACCAGTTTGCCAGCAAGTACTACGATGTGGTGAGAAAAACCTCTCTTTCACTCAACTCAACTCAACTCAACTTTATTTATAAAGCGCTTTCAGTCAGCCAAAGCTAAAATCAAAGCGCTGTACAGGCCATTTGAGCAGATCATAAAACACAATTATCACCACAACACAAGACAAACTCAAAGATTAAAAAAAAAACAGTAAGAGCAAATAAAAAATAAAAATAAGAAAAAACAAAACCAAGTAAGAGAGGGAAATTAAGACAGCTAAGATAAAGTCGAAGTACAGCAAGTTCACAGCCAACATCGGTTCAGGACTACTCTGAAAATCAGTGCTTTTACGGTTTTATGGGATGTTTTTAAATGGCCAACACATTAAATGAACTCCTTCAAATGTTCACGGAGGAGAATAAAGGCTTATTGGGCAGATTTTTAAAGCCTCTTCAACCATATTTTTAAGAACTAAACTTAAATAAATCATATTTAAAGAGGTATGAACAAAGCTTTAAATGGAGGAATCGACCCATTTATTTAGTGTTTAGTCAAAAAGGAAATGAGAACCAAACTGCTGTTTTAGATGTGTGATACCGACTCATTTCAAACTTTAAGTTTGAACTTTCTGGACTTTTTCCTCAGATCATCCAGTCTCTGGACGATGACCCCGCCGCCCAGAACAAGCAGCTCACGCTCCGCCTCCAGCAGGTGGCCGCCGCCCTGGAGAACAAAGTGACCGACCTCTGACCTCACCGATGACACTGTAAAGCGGTGTGGGGGCAGGACAGACTGGACAGGACTCCGGAGCTCCGTGGGGTGTCCGGAGACACTCGGAGATGAGTTATTTTTCTACAGGCAGCCTGGAACGGTCATCACGTGTGCCCCTCGGACCTTTGCCCCGCAGACTTTTTCGGTTTGAAGCCAGAGGAACTGGAGCAGAAAGTGCCACACTATGAAAATATTGGGAAATTTGAAGAGTGTAAATGAAGTGACCGGACTCTGAGAGGCGTTTCGTTTTTAGGTACTTTGCCTTTTCTTTATTTTCTTTTTTTGGGAAGTCGCTTCTTGACCACTTCATGTGAACTGTGGATCCAAAAAAACACGCTCTAAGACCGGTTTCTCTTCCCTGGCACTGAACGGTGAATCTGGAAAAATTCACTGTGGTACGCCGGCCAGCTCCCAGCTTTTTTTTCTCTCAGACGCCGAACTGAGAAGGATACGTTTGTGGTACGACGCGTTTGGGTGTTAACGAAAAAAAAACTAGGATTAGTCTTGTATCACGGCTAAATGTTTCTGCTTTCCGTGCCGGACCGGCTGCGGTATGTTTAGTTGTTTCTTTGTATGCAGGCTTTAAACACTTTATCGGGGTTCTTTTTGTGTCATATGCTGCGCTGACGTGTGTGTGTAAGTGTGTGTAAGTGTGTGTGTGTGAGAGAGAGAGAGAATGTGTAGCCTGCTCTAAAAAAAAATCACCACTGCCTAATCATGTGACCACTTTTAGCTTTTGATTTTCTGTTTTTATATTCTGCATTATCATACCACTTTCCAACACACACACACATATCAATATTTATATTCTAGATCTCTATGTACCGCTGCGTTTGTCTGGCCGCTCAGTGATGACCAAAATGTTCTCTGAAGTCTTGCTTTCTGTGGGTCTCTTAAAGTGGCTGAAAATAAACGGAGCTGGTGACGTGCGGACGTGCTTTAAATCCCCGTAAAAATCAACTCGGTATGTTTCATACCAGCTCTGAGCGACTGCTGGACCCAGAAGTTTGATGTATGCATCATCTGAGTCTTTTATTTTGAAGGCTTTGTCGATCGTCACCACGGAATTGTGGCGTATCTGCGTTGCTTTGGGCTTTTTGAGCCCACAAAGCGTCCTTCAATCTCCGTTTGCCGCTTTCCATTTCCTTCCTTTGGTCCCTTTTCCTGTGGTTTAGCCGAGGTCAAGCCAGAGGGGAGGGGCCTCCGACCGGGAGTCGGACAACTGGGCGACCACAGCTTTATGATTCCACTGAGAATTAATCAAAAAAGAAAACAGAAACAGAAGAAAAACATCAGAAATGCATCCAGCAATAACACTTTCAGTTTGACTTTGGGTGAACGCTCCGGTGCCAAAAACCCAACGCGGCCGTTTGTGTCGTTTGTGTGTTTTTTTGCCTTTGGTTGTGTGTCGCTGTCGTGCGTGAGTAGAGCCATCTGCCCGGTACCTTCTCGAGAACGCGTTTAAACGTGAGGCCTTTGCAGACCCGACCCCCCGGAACGTGACCCGCTGGGGTGTGGGACTGGGCTGGCCTTTGATGCGTGCTTCTGTCTGCCTTCTCTTTGCCACCAGCGAGTGCCTTAAAGCGTTCCCTCGTCAGCAAACCTGGAAGGAAAAAGCCAAAACGAGGCTTCCAGAAGCACACGTGCTCGTAGGTCAGAGGGGAAGTGGAGTTAGAGGCTCCCCCACAGGAAAACACGTCATTAGACTAAGCCAGGGTCTTCTGTTTAGGCTCCAAAATCTGGAACCCTTATTAATTACGCGATCGGTCATGGAAGTAGCAGGTTCTCCAAATCACAACTGGATCATGAAAACCACTTCCTGTTTACCCCATCAGTTGTTTTAGAAAACAAAGACAGCTTTAATAAGATTTCTGATCCATAAAAAAGCACAGATCAGCCCCACACTGCATTCACCTGGTTCTGTTCAATTTTTGTTTGGCATTTACAGCTACAGACAGCAGAAAAACACGTTTGTTTGGACTCTCAGCGAGGCCTGATCACGAGCTAATTCATTCTGTTAAGCTTCCTGCACGTAAAGTTTTTTTTTTTTTTGTGAGAGCTTCAAAGTGGAACAGAAAAGACATTTGATAAGACAAAAGTTTCTAAGCTTTAAAGCTCTTTCATGCATAAATGTGATTCTGTTCTTGCAAAGCTAAGCATTGAAGATATTAAAAAACAACAAGTTTCGGTCTTTATTGAATAAAAATAACCGTTATAATCATAATTTTTTCCCTTATGTTGACTACATTTTGCTGCTTATGACAGCACCTGTCAAAGCCTACAGGAAAAGTGCCCGTCTCAAATTTGCCTAAAAACTGGTAAAAAGAAAAACGAAACTTGAAAGTGGAAAGGTTTTCAAAGAACTCAAAATTGTGAAAAAATTAGGATTTTTTGTTTGTTGATGAAGCTGACAGACATGCTGTTTTTGGTCTGATTTTGGTGAACATGCAACGGGAAATTTGGTAAACGTGATGCATCTCTCTGAAAGCGGGGAACGGAGTGAGTTTGTCTTCTCCGGGGGGGCTGGTTTCAGAAGGCTGTGCTCGTCTGTCATTGGCTGGTTTTGGTACCGAGGCCCGGCACGGGGAGAGGAACTGTCGTTTGCAAATCTGTGTTCTTAAGATGTGAAGCTAAAGTGTAACTGAATAATGTTGTCTGATGCACATGTGAACGTTTTTTTTTAATGTCACAAAAAAAGTCTCCTCTGGTTCTGAAGCTTTTGGCCACCTCACAGGAGTTCTACAGCGTGTGTTTATACCATTGTATAGGAGTTTGTACATCAAATCCAACGTTGGCGTTTATTCTTGTAACTGACTGTAGAAGACTTATGGTTTCGGTGGACCAAGTTTAGATTTGGAAAATGGACTGCATCGGCACTACCAGTGACCAGAGCTGGACTGAAGCCCAGATCAGTGACTCTAGGAAGTCCAATAAAAGATGTTTATACAAATAGAATGTGTTCTTTTGAGTTTCACTGTGCTTCTCTGGGAGCACAACTCGGTGTCTGGAGAAATAAAGACAAGATTCCGCTGAGAACATTTAGATTAAATCCACTTCAGCTTTTAAAGTTTATTCCGTTTCATATTAAGGCCAAAGCAAACATTAGAAATCTAAATCCATCTTATTATTTAAAGGGCTCATAGAAAAGTGTCTTAAATAAATTCGAGCATCTTAAATACACAACCAATAAATAAAAGAGGTCGTCAAATGCTTTATCTTCATGGAAATAACTTTTTTTTTCCTTTTGTGGCCCTCTGGGAAACGTCCTCCAAAGAAAACAAAGTGATGCCAAATGTGTAAAAAATAGAGGTATCCAAGGCAACATCGAAAGTACACACAAAAAAATACATTCCTTGCCAAAATGATTCAACAATAAACTAATTTCTTATTGCTCACTTTGGTTTCTTTAGAGGACACTTCCCATGAAGTGGCTGGAAATTAAACACCAGTCAAAATAAAGCGAAGCCTGATGTTGAGGCAAGATTTAAAGGAACAGTCCATCCACACAAGAAATCATCTCCACGGCCAAACTGAGGCTCAAAATATGATCTAAGCACAGACATAAAACTGCTCCGATTTATGGATTAAAAAGCCTCCAAACAGTCCAAAATTATTCTGAAAATATTCAAACAAGCACTACGGGATGAGCTCAAGTCTCCCGGTGTGCTTCAGACAAACTCTCCGGTTCCTGTTACTGGGTTCGGTTTTTAAAAAACCTGGCTGGGATAGGCTTTAAAAATGGAGTAAATCTGGAACATTCTGATTAGCCATTTTTAAGTCTGACAGAAGACACCATTAACTAGTTCCCAAAGTGACTTCTGGAGGTGCTTTGGCTCGTTTGCTTCCACACTTCTCTGCAAAGATCGAAGTTTTTTAAAGTTTTTTTTAAAGAGGCAAACGCTTGGATTCAAATGCTGACAAACAGAAAAACATTTAGAGGAAATAGTGAAACTTTACATTGACTTCAGTTAAACTGAAACCGTTAAATGGAGCCTCACCAACGTTAAACTAGTGACCATCTTATAAACAAGAGCAGCGTCCACTTACTGCTTCAGAGACTCAACTGAGGTAGGTGAGGACAAACGAAG